GATGAGACCCTCGCTGCACCGACTGGAGGAACGACTGCAGAGAATAGAAAAAGGAGAAGGAAAGGAGGTCGCTCCTGTCGCGAACACGAGAGGGATGGAGCCTGGAGCCCCAAACGCCCCAGCGCCCAAGGGAGGCCGAACAACTGTCACGGAATGGCAGACTATCGAAGGAAAAAGTGGTCGAAACAGTCGAGTCGGACCAATGGGGGAGGCCATACAGGACGGTGACGCAGAAACTAAGCGCGAAGGGCCCCCTGACAACGGCGGAAATGGAACCTGCGCTGCTGACGCGGATCACCGGAACGCTCTTTCCCCCACAAGAAAACAGAGCGGCGGAACGGCCACGGGAAACGACACGATTGCTGGAATGGAGGGACGACTGGGAAGTCACGGAGGAAGAGATATGGGAGGCAACCAGAAGAATGACCTCCCGCAACGTGGCACCGGGCCCGGACGGAATCCCTGGCCGGATCAGTATGGGCGGAAGACCTGATGGCAAGCCGTCGCAGCATTCTGCTCCTGAGAAGTCTGCACAGAGTGACCGCCATCAGAATCATTAAGGGATACCGGACGGTGTCTCACGCGTCGGCGTCCACCCTAGCCGCCCCCCCCTAAAGAGGGCCGACCGACGACCTCGCCGTCAGCGTTCCGGCCGATATGCCTACTGGACGAGGTCGGCAAACTACTCGAGAGCGTAGTCGCTGCCAGCTTGGAACGACACATAGCGGATCAAGTGCCAGGTTTGCACAAAAGCCACGGCTTCCGGAAGGGGCGCTCGACGATTGACGCGGTCAGACGCGCACGAGCGATTGCGGAGGACATGGTCTCCCGGAAAGGCGTGGCGCTGGCGGTTTCCCTGGACATCGTCAACGCGTTCAACACCATGCCATGGGACAGGATAGTGACGGCCCTGGAGCACTTCGAGGTTCCCAGCTATCTCGTCCGATTGATCCGAGCCTACCTTCCAGCTACCTCGTCCGATTGATCCGAGCCTACCACCTACAGGTGGGTGTGTTACACCAGTAAGGAAGGAGAGGAAAAGCGATCCGTCGAGCGTGGCGTCCCGCAGGGCTCGGTGCTGGGCCCCATACTATGGAACGTTGCGTACGACGAGGTACTGCGATGCCCGCTACCCCCAGGCGCGCCCATGGCATGCTATGCGGACGACACCCTAATCCTGGTCGAGGGTCGTGGCTGGCACGAGACGCTGCGCATTGGCGAAATCGCAACGGCCTGTGCGACCCGTGCCGTGAACGAACTGGGCCTGAGAGTCTCCCCTGCGAAGTCGGAGGCCACCTGGTTCTTTGACAGGAAGAGGCGAGGGACACCACCGCCCGGCCTATGCATAAACATGGCAGGTGAAACCGTCCGGGTGGGATCACAGATGAAGTATCTGGGACTCACCATCGACAGCCAGTGGACGTTCGAGTCGCACTTCGACTCATTGATCCCGAAGGTGTCAGCGGCTGCCAATGCCCTGTGCGGCCCTCTACCGAACATCGGCGGGGCCGGAGACGCGGTGCGCCAACTTTACGAGGGCGTCGTTCGGTCACGAGTGATGTACGGGGCCCCAGTATGGGCGGACGACCTGATGATGGCAAGCCGTCGCAGCATTCTGCTCCTGAGAAGGCTGCACAGAGTAGCGTGGGAGCTGCCCCGCTACACCCTGCGACACGCCATACGTGAAATACTGACCCCCTCAGCTATCGAAGCGATAATGAGAGGGGCACAGGAATACGTTGCCGTCCGCCTCTTCTGCGAGCGAGTTATGCTCGCGAAGGAGCGAGCGGAAAGGGAGAGAAAGAAAAACTTCCACTCCTGCAGGATAAGACGATGGAGAAGGATGGCAGTCAGACGACCCAGAGCCGCCCCGCCACCACCCTAACGGACTACGACCAGAAGAAGTGACAGCGCTAGGGGCAACGACCTCCCCCTAACGCCTACTCGATAGCCGGCTCGAACAAGAGAACGCGAGAGGGGAGTGCAACTGAAGTTAATTCATAAGAGGTTCCTGGAGCACCCCTGTCACACGCATAAGATGGTCATCGTGGAGTTTTAGTCGGTAGGAGTCCGACACTACTCTGCTGTTACGCGATTATTGCAGCAGCGGAGTGTCCATGAGGATTTCTCCACGTACAAAAAAGAAAAAAAAGAAAAAAAGGGTCAGACTCGACTGCTTCAACTACTTCAGACCAGGCACGGTCCTTCGCGTTCCTGATCTCCTTTTTTAGCGAGCGCCGTAGCACGCGGTACGCTTGGTAGCGCACGGAGACTTCTTCTTCGTCGCGTCGTTGCCAGTGTCACGTAAAGTTGGTACTTGGATTGTAGTAAGAAGGCGGAGTCGTAACCCAACTACTAATTTTCCTTTATAAAACTTTATTATAAATGTTAACACTTACAAAATAATACCGAACCGGAGAAAAGGGGTTGTATGAGTACGGCAGTACCAGAAGAAGAACAAGAACTGCCCGAGCTGGGCGAAGTCTCGGTTTATATACGTTCTGGTTTTAGGATGTTGAGGGGCTAGGTGTAGGTTATGATGTGGAAAAGTGTCCGAAGGTCGGGGGTCCATATCCTATCTCTGATGTGGACTAAGGTGCGTCACATGATGATAAGGTGGTGATGTGTCCAAAAGTGTCCGAAGGTCGGCAGTCGATGTCTTATCACTGATGTAGGTTGAGATGTGATTGATGTCACACCAGCATCGGGCCCTCAGGTACCGTCTTCGGGTTCGGACACATCTCGCCCCCAGCTCCGCGATGTCGGGAGTCCACCAACACATGGCTCTGCTTCGCCCGGTGTCCAGCGTGGTTCGCGGCATGGACGTGTCACATATGGCCGTCATGACTCGGCGGAGGTTCTCGGCCTCCTCCTCGACGCTTGTTTCCGTCGGAGTCGTCGAGGCCTCCCAGTTCCAGGCAGCCACTATTGCGGCCGCTCGATGCAGATCGTCGTCTCTTTCCTTGATTTTCCACCTTAGTGGGGTGCTATCCTAAACTGACGATGCTACAACATCTACTGCCTGATTTGTTTCGACCGAATTTCTACTCAGCTTGTCCACTACTTCGTTTCTTTCAACGTACTTGTAGTACTTAATTGCATAATTGAATTCCGAGAACCTGATAAATCATCTCTCAATATACAGATTAAAATCTAAATTTAATATCTACATTTAATCTAAATCTAAATTTAAAATCTAAAATTAATTGCTATAATAAATACCACGCTTAAATTTCTTTCTTTTTAACTTTTTCTGCATGAAGGGAACGTTCGAAAGATTAATGTTTTATAGTGCAACCTGTATTCGGTGTATGATCAAGTTCTTACAATATGTTTCTTGAGTAATAAATTTTGAATAAAAAGTTGGTAAGTACATATTCTTATGCTAATAAACATTTGTAATCTTCTAAATATGGATTACTCATAAAATAATTGTTGCATATTATTCGTTTTTAATGAATACAAGATTTGAAAAATTTTTCGATCACGTTAAATGATTTAAAACGTTTTGTGTGTCAAGTCTATTACATATTTATATACATATCATCTCATTGTAAAGATAATTTAATGTAGAATATTGTGTACTATTGTACTTCTCTAATTTATAGTATTATATTAGAGATACTATAATATTATTATTATTATTTCAAATGTAACTAACAATCCATTTTTCTAATGTAATCAAGGCGATAATGAAGTAAAATAAATTTTATAATAAGCATTAAAGAAGTGAGCGCGGTCCACATTATATCATGTTTTATTAATCGGAAAGATCTCACCAGTATGTTTAAAAAACATTCACACAAAAACAAGTAAAATTAAAGAAGTTATGACAGTATTATTAATTATTATGCCGTGAAATCTCGTTAAAAAATCACGTCGCGTGTCGCACCGTGTTCGACCTCTCGCAGAGAGACGCGGACGCGGTAGAGCACGCCAACGAGAGTCGTAAATTCTCGTTACGATACGATGACGATGCCACGAATCCGCCGATCTTCTATTTCGATTAAGATAATAGGAGTGGTTGGAATGATTATAACACTGAGTTAAGTGGTTAAATATACACTTTATTCCAACAACCTTTCCTCGAAGCATACAAGGTGAAGAGATGACTAACAATTTGAAATGCATGAAGTTATGTCTTGTTCGCGAAGGCGGTATTTGTACTCAACTAACGATGGGTGCTGATCGCTCACCAACGGTACTTGGCTTGTGGAGATGACCGTTGAACATAGGAGAAACTCGCTTTTCCCACTTTTTACCAGATGGAACAATAACTCTAAGGAACTTCTCGACTTGAAAAATGTTTTGTAGCAATTAAGGGTCTTGACGGTAAAGTAAAAAATGTTTAATTTCATGGCCGTTCTTTAGGATTATTGTTGTCCGACTAATTATATTTGTACAGTTGGTGGCCGTCTTGTTTGATGAATGGATTCTGGTTTATGTAGAGGGTAACGGGACGTAACATAACTTATGCTTGACTGGCTCCGACCAACATAACAGAGGCATAGGAGTAACGTATACTTAGATATAGGCAGAGTAGACAATGCGAAGAGCACCCCACACTAAGTATCCTATAATCAAATTGTTAACAATAAACCCTTTTCATCCGAAATTTGAAATATAACATTGCTAATAAACAGTAAAATATCGACGTGACTTAATTTCATTGTTCCTCAGATTCTTAATTAAAAGATGATTAGCAAACCTCGGCAGTTGCTACACGCTTTTTTTCATAAAGATATTATTATTCCAATATACACTTTATACATTCCTAAATGCATCTCAAAATACGTAGTAAGTTCACAATATTAGAAATAATGAAGCGGGTCAAAGGAAGTATTGCAAAACCTTTTGTTTTAAACCGATAATGATATGAACATCGATTTCTCTTGAATAAAAAGAAATTATAATCTTGATATATGTTCATCTTTGTTGATATGTTATTGGTAGCGGAATTAGCTCCTCTTTTTCAACCATGATTATTACAATAAAGGCTTCTCCGTATTATTAGAAGATGATATTTATTGTGCTGAATTATTTACTGACAATAAGATGCGCAAAGAGGTGAAGATGGAGAAAGCATTGGACAGGTACTGAAATAATACGAATTTAGTATTTGTTATCCTTGAGTAATTCATTCAGTATAATTATTGACATTCGAATTTTAACTTGCTTTACCGAACAATAATAACGCAAAGAAAGTTCTGGCACTAGATAAGTGACGGAAATAATCACTGGTTTTTTATATACCAATACGTTTAGTAGATCCTTTTGCATTTCTAAAGTTGTTCATACCAAGCTATGTCGTACACACTCTGTGATACGTTTGCGCTCTAAATATCATGGAAGATTGACTGAGTTTAGGAAAATATAACCCATAGAATACATACAGTCAGTTACGGAAGTTTACATATACCTCGAATTTTGTACATCTGACTTACTAAAAAAGTTGAAAATGTACTTTGTCACAAAATTATTTGTATTTAGCTATTAATACAATCTATTATTAACGTATTTTTAAAAAGAATTTTAAAGGCCAAAACATTTAAGTCATAAAAATCTTGGGTTAAATCTACATCAGAAATTATAAAACTTATAACTTTTTCAATGTCAAAGAAGGCAGTGGTACATTATGGATGTTTATGTCAGGGATCTATTGGACCTACAAGATATTAGTATAATATTAAGCCTATTTTTATTATTACATGTAAATATAAAAGATGTATGTAATTCTGCAACGTTGTATTTTATAGGATTTTTATTTCTTTTTTCTTATTAAAGATGAAACCAAATAAAGTGTGTTACAGTTTTACAATATGTTTTAATCTGTTAAAAAATTCATACAGAACGTTTTTAGTATAATATTTTATATTTAAGGTGTGTATGTAAACTTTTGTGATTGACTGTATAAATGATATTATAAAACATGATTTACCATATCCTTCATGTGATCGGCTGGCCACGCGTACATATAAATTTCCGTGAGTACAGTGAGACATGCGGCCATGAACTGCATTTTTACAATTAATGGTGGATTCTGCTTGTAAATTGCATTATAATTTAGCTACGTTGTATGTTTAATATCGTAAGTATGACTTACCATGAATACTATAATACAAGACAAAGTTATAGTAAATGTTGTTACTATTGTAGTATAAAGTATTAGGAAACGAAAAGAATTGATCACTTCGTTTGCATATCTATAATAAAAATCCATTTACGATAAATGAAAATGTACTATTTAGCCTATATGTCGTGGAAAATATAACACTTACCTCCTTAAAAGTAATTGTTTCTTTACGCAAGTGATCACCATATCAATATTTGAACTTTTTTTGAATTCCACGGCCAAACATTCGAATCTTGCAGCCGTAAACCAAAGTAAAAGCGCACCAGATATGCATAGACATATATTTGCAGCGCATTGACAGCAAACAAAAGATTGATGCAAATATATTATAGCATTTACAGGCGTATAATTAACGTTAAATGGATATTCTGCATCTAATGGAAAAGAAGTTGACAAGATTACTGGTCCTAGCAAAAAGGTAGTCACAGTCACGTATGCGAATAACATGCAACTTCCGTAAAGGATGCTACATTTTGCAATATACTTGCAGAAAATTTCTCTTTCGTATTGTTGCGCCTCTTTGACATAGGTCACCATTTCTCCGATTACACGCTGTAACCCATAGTGAAAATATATACTCGTGTAGTGACGAACATACAGGGTCTGTACAAGACAGGACATAACAAGGATCGGTCCGATAAAAGGAATAACATATAAAAGCGGATACGACATAATTCCTTATGAAAATATAAGAAAAAGATATAGAATAAAATTTTTGTAACGTTACGTTCCTTCGACTGGTGTATAACGCGTGTCGTGTTTTTATAAATGAAATAAATAAAATTTATAAATGAAAAAGATTCTATTTTATTAAGTACAAAATCGTTGAAAATGTTATCCTTGCTGTCGGATACATAGCTGTGCCTGTCTAATTGTCGCAGCATGAACCTTAGACAACGTATTTCATTTACAATTCCTCAAATGCGTGATTCTAAAATGCGTGACTCATACTAACTGATTCCGACTTCCGATATCTGCACTATGCACTTTTTCTGTAATGTGTCTTTACAAATAAAAGTCTTAGACGTATTAGAAGGCGTATTAGATGTGGAAACTTTGAAGGCCAGACGATTGTTCCTTCATCGCCTATTCAACAACGATAATTATCGTTCAGAAGTCTTCTTAGTACATTGCACTATCACGCACTATCATCACTATCATGGTGGAAGATCAGTCGTTGTCGGATACGATAAGGCACATCGTCTAACAATGTTGACAAGTCCTCACGAAGAAAATTTCAGTAAATCTATTCCGTTAGAGAATATAGCAAAATGTACGGTCCGATTATGCGATTACCGACTATTCCAATCCAAATGTTAACACTCAACTTTCCTGGAAATGAGTTTCTCGTGTTTCATAAGAAATTGTGAAGGACTTAAGATTTGTATTATGGACCTCAAAAGCACCATCTCTATAGAATTGTGGACATATGCATATGTCATTTGTCCATAAAATGTACGACATAAATTGTGGATTACTATTATGTTGTTCAAATAAACCAATGCGAAAATGCCATTCGTGGTACGTCATCACTCATGCATGCACAATGCATACACTCGTGTTGCATGATACAGGTACATTCTATTATCATGTAATATGCAACGGATGGTCTTTTCAATGACGTCATAATTATGACACAATGAAGTTACACTAATTGCAGAACTGTTGTCAATATTTTCCAAAACATTGTCTTCGATAAGTGTTCGTGGACAGACACGACCGCAATTTCGACGCTAAGATACGAAAGATTCGAGTTCTAGACGACTTTGCCATATTCCTTGAATAGTTCCTATACCTGGAACACGCCGATTAGGATATCGCTCTCTGTAGTAGTGAACAGTACGAGTTAGAACAGTTACAAGTTCTTAAAGAACAGATCACGTTGACGCAATTTATCTAGTCTTGTAACTCATCATCATGTATTTGAACGAAAACTGATCGGCATAGGTTACGAATTATATGTCACTCGACGGATCGTAATTTTGCCATAACAGCGTGGAAACGCCGCGAACTTCTAAACTTGATTTTCTTGAAAACTAAATTGAGAATTAAACAAATAAATTGAGAATAAAACAAATTTATTCTATGTTTTTTTCTGACATGTCATAAGCTTCTACATGTCATTCTGACGGATCCTGTATATTAACGAAATTATAGATTTAGAATTTTCAATCAGTATCTTTCAACTAACTTAAATATTAATAATACAACAGCAAATAACTTTAATGTCATTTTTTAGGGACACAAACTTACGAATAATTACTTATTTACTTTTGAAAATCTTCTAAAATGGTCTTAAGGCCAGGAAAAACAAGTCTATATGGAAAAATTTAATAGAATCTAAGCGATGAAGAACACAGTAATCCTCAAATCAAGGATATTGTGGTAAATTTTTAAATGGCAATAACCAATAAACGAATCCTCAAATGCAATTTTTGGATTGTTCATTTTATGTTACACTAGCTACTCGCCCGCACAGTATTTATTTTTATGGTAATATATGTTTATTACCTTCTGTTTAAACAGCATTTAGAAATTGAATTTCGGAATACATATTTGTCTATCTCTGATGAGGAGTTCATATGTTGAATTTTACGTCCTAACTTTAGAAATTCATGGGATATGGGTATGCTTTAAAAAAATCTACCCCGTTTTACCTTTTTAGGACAAATATTTCCAAAAGTCCTGTCTCATTTTATGTCTACGTTATAGAAGAAGTATGCTCTTCAAATCTCACTTTTTTAGTTACAACGATTTGGACTGGACTTTCATGAGTGAATCAGAAACTTTTGTATTTTATATATATGTTCGGTTCATATTATGATTAAGATTAGAGGCGTGAAACGAATCTTCATTTGGATTATACATTGTCGTTATGCAACAGAGAAGATATTGACTAGTGTAAATACGATTATTACAGAATTTGACAAGTAACCGTGGTAGTTAGATACTCGAGAAGCTAATGACAATGATCCCAAGTTCAATAACGAGTCCGCGGTCAACGGGATGATAGATGTACGTGCACACAAAATCTAAGTCGGACTCTTTGTTAAAACGTGGAATATCCACCGAGCGTAAGGACGCTAAGTAACTCGCTAGTACGACCTCACGAGAGAATGACTTTCCGTCGCGATGATGCTGCAGAGGGAAACAATGATGGGGTGTGTGTAAGGACACGAGATCATCGGATTCGTCGAGGATAGCCTTCGTTCAGAAAGTGAGGGAAATTGACGTTGCTGTTAATTGATCAATTTCTATGTTAGTGGCTACAAAAGGATGCTAGCCGTCCTTGAAGGAAGATTGCCAGTGGGAAGCATCATTCGTTGAAAAATAGATCTCCCCTATCTTCCTGTAGTTGGGACAAAGACTGTTTGTCTGTTTGAAGGACTTTAGGTAACTGGATCTTAGTGTCTATAACGGCCCTCGGGCTAGCTGATCACGTACTGTGGAGACGCGTCGGCATCTGGTAACCATCATACCCGAAGAATAGGGTCTGCGTATGGCGAGTCACGGGATGGAAACCGTTGGAATGTTTACTGTCGCGTGCCGCTACAAATATTTCTTTTAAGGAGAGCTATAGAATTACTCCATACCTTCGTCAGACAAAGCACTTATCCCGTGACCGCGGCTACGTTCGGCGACTGGTTGTCGCCTCGAACCCAAGCTCAATATCACGAATCTCGAACAAATACAATCGGATTGAATGACGACCATTGCTTAATTACGGCTATGGTAGAATCTAGATTACAGTGTTAAGGGATTTTCCCAAAATTCCAAAGGGAAGGTTCCGGTGTCCTTTCGTCTCCGACATATATTATATCCGATTTCACTAGTCCCTGATTCATTCGTACGATTCGAAATACTACATATACATATGTGACATGTCTGCGTACGAATCCACGCTCAAGTATACACAGAAAACCTGTAGACAACAGACTTTAGCATAGATGAAAAAAAAAAAATTATACAGGACTGTCATAATGCGACATCTGAGAATAAAACAATTGAGAAAGTAAAGATATTGGCTCGACGAAAAAACTTAGAGAAGGATGTTCTTAATTACTTAAGGAAATGAGATTTATATCAACGATACTAACTGATCAAAATACGCTCAAAGGAACAAGCTATTGTTACCGATATACCGAGTGAATCAAACGAGTAATCTCCTTTAACAAAAGAATAAATGGAAATAAATATATTCTCTACATTCAGGACTGCCTTCTAATATATTTAAGTCTTCTTCTCTAATTTTTTTCTTTAATTCTACTTTTATCCAAAACGGATTCGATTATTGATTACTCGAGCATAACATTTATACTTTTAGATCCCCAAAACATTACTACTTATTAATCTCTATAACTTACTAATCAAAGTGCGAGCCTAATTTCACAATTAATTTATGCATTTGAAGATGCTTTTAATATAAACACATACATTGCATTGCAATACAGACTATTGCTTTCCATTTCCATAGTCACGGTGCTCTCGACAGAACACATGCTATTATAAAAAAGTTCATACGAAGCTTTTTCACTGACAAATCAGAACAATGGGATTCATTGTATTTTTTCTTCTACTTATAATTATCAAGATTGAATCTGAACAATATCAGATGTTGATCTGAACATACGAATCAGGAAGAAATTATACAGCGGAACAATTATAGGAGAACGGTATTTATTAATAGCGTTCGTAAGTATGTGTCGTGGAAAATTGAGCAAAATTGAAACAGGACACCTTCGAAGCGATTCGAATATTTTTAATACTGCGATTATCGATCATCACTTCGAACATTATTCAATACTTAACTCATTTGAGACCGCTGACACAGATTGTGAATTATAGCCTTCTCTATATAGTTACCGACGATTCGATGTCTCAGATTGTAATCAAGAAATTCACTCCGTTAGATTAATAAATTGCACACAAAGATGTCTAAAGCACGAAATAGTCGTTGATTATAAAACCAAATAATAAATGAACATTCCACATCCGTGGACATCAATTTATCTAAAAATAAATTATAATTGCAATTGCGTTTTGTTGAGTATAAACTTGTCAAAATATTCCGGTCTCGAATGTATTGAAACTCAGGAAAGTATTGGAAAATTTGAAATTTTGAATTTTGATAGAGCTTAAGTCAAATTAATTTTTACATACAGGCAGTTTGGCTACAGATGCAAAAATATTTAAGGAACGATTCTCAAAGCCAAAATAAGATGATAATCGAGAATAGAAGAATTGCGTTTTCGGTATTGTTTTTTAGTTATTGACAATTATATATCTGTGCGTTTAAATATTTCCGTGCGTGAGCAAACGGATGATTGCAGGCCGTCTCGTAAAAGTAGCAACAGTGTCATGTATGTTCAAGATTTGAAGTGGTTGCCTGGTAATTGCCGCGACGGCATGACCACCAGACGCGAGTCTCGGGCAGGACGACCGTCAAGGGTACCATAATGCGGACCCATCATAAACAGTGGGCCTATTGTACAATCCAGGTACTTTAGGACCTCCCGGAAAAAAAAATCCATAAAATACGAAATTGCTTTATTTTTATGCTACATCTCAGGAAGACCGGACACGCGGGTTTTCCCCAAGTGTAAGGTCACCCGCGCGAGAACCTTCACGAAGGCAGCCAGTCCATCCTAAAACATACGGCTTTACTCAATGAC